GGCTCTTCTTCTTTGTGACTTTGCTTATGCTAATTCTCCAATGCTCCTCTTTTACCTTTCTGCCTTCTAACTCTGCTCATTGTTGGAAGTCTAGCCTGAGTTCTAGTAGTTCCTTAGAAGCCTCCATAGCCCATTCCAGTCCCAACTTTCCTTTTCTCAACTCCTGGTCTGGTTTTACTTCCCAAATGGGCATGTATTTTGTTTTAGACTCTTTTCTTTCTTATATATTAGTTTTATTCATTCACTATATGTAAATATATCAACATATATTAGTTTACTAGTTTTATCTTTGTAGCTAGATCATAGACATTATCTTATTTATTGTATTCACCATAACACACGTTTGGGCATGTAGCAGATATTTAATACATTGATTAAGGGATATAACTAAAATTTTTTGAAAAATAGGAGAAGTATAAGAGAGTAAACTAGACTGAGACACCAAAATGCTAGAGAATGGAGGAATACCTTTAGGTTTAGAACTTCTTAATGTTCTTCCTCTGTCTTCCAATTTATCTGCTGTTTTTCCACTCCCTTTCTCCCCAGTCGTGTCTGGGCTGCCATCTGGAAGTAACTTCTGAGCCTTTACATTCAGCCTTGCAACATTCAACATCTTTAAGGAACGGCACATGGCATTCATCTTCTGCCTCACTGGAGTACGAGGGACACCTCCTACCAAAACAACATCAGAGGAAGAAAAGTAAATTATCTTTCACTTCTGTGGAATCAAGAACTACTTTAATTCAGAATATTGTAAAAGAATATCAAAATGAAGTATATCCCCTCAGAATGATCTGAATTAGTTATAGTTCTTGCATCTCTTTCTACCCACACACAGGGTAGAAAGAGAGCCCTTCTTTTAATTGAAGCTTAGGAACTAAACATCTCAATGTGATTAGATATTTTTCTCCACAAGGCAAATGCCAAACAGACTGACTCTGGCATTACCCAATGGCCACAGAATTGCAATGAAACTATTCCGAAAGATAATTCAGCAATCTGCGTCAACAGTCAGTTTTCACATTCTTTAACACAGTAACTTGTTCTCCTGGAAACTCCAGCTATGGAAATTACTAATAGAAGGAATTGTATGCATGATGCATACTGTAGTATTATAATGATAAAAACTGAAAATAATCTGAATGTTCATTCAAAAACATGAGAATTTTATAAATTTTATTAAGCAATGAGGTGAAATTATAACTAAAAAGGTAAGGTAGCACATGAACAAATATTTATATGCAAAATATAAAGCTGTATTTAAATTTCTGTTATAATTAGAAATAAAGTTGGTTTATTCATTAGGAAGGTAGGATTGTGGGTGATTTTTTAAAGCACTATTAGACTAACATAATTATTTTTAAATTTGTAATATAATAATTTGCCCTTCTTTAGTTAGTTACCATCTCAATCTCATTTCAGGGAATGTCAGTCTTTTAAAATGCATAGTCTCAAAAAAGACTGCCGTAAGAAGCAGCCTTTGTATGTGCATACGTTTCTTTTTGTTGTCTTCTTGATTAGCTGCTGTGGATTCTTCACGAGATTTTCTCTGGTAGAGCTCGGAGAGGCAATGTGTTAATTCACTTTCAGTTTTGTAAGACTCTTCCTTATTAGCTGAGGCAGCCTGTAGTAACCTGTAAGGTCAAGATATTTAGTATAAAACCAAAATTCTAATTTTCCAAAATGCTTTAAAAATAAAACAATAGAAAAAACTCCATAATCTTTTTTTTTTTAATTTCAGCATATTATGGGAGTACAAATTTCAAGTCCATTATCTTTTTAAAAGCTAATCAAAAGATATCCCCCACAAGATATCTTCAAAAATACTTTCTCAGGAGGGAAAATGTCCTTGCTCTCATTTTCAATTTGAACAAACTCAGGGGCAACGCTGCTTTGTTCACAAAACCATGAATCGTTATGTACAATACTGACTTTTATTAATAGGATTCTTCATGAATTAGGGTACATGTCTAACTATTGGCAACTATTTTACTTCCGGGCTTCCATAGTTATTTTTTACTTAGTTTCCATACATTAAAGTATACAAGGATGGAATACAGTGTAATAAGTACTCCAATGGCTTTGGAATAATTCTTTCACATTGTAATAAACTAATTTGAGATTGATGAGAAGATGAGAAAGTAGGGCAGACAGGATGATTAGTTATTAAGTGCTTTTCCACCTAGAGCTAAGTATCCGTCACTAAGGAAATTATGAAAACAGCACAACACTCAATAATAAAATAATACAAATGTATTATTTGTATACAAATATATACAAATAATACAAATGTATTATTTGTATTTCAATATCTTCCATTATCTGACTATCATCTGATTAAAAAGGGAGAAAATTATGGTGACATTAGTTGAACAGACATTGGCCAGGAGTGGTGGCTCACACCTGTAATCCTAGTGCTTTGGGAGGCCCAGGTAGGAGGATTGGTTAAGACCAGGAGTTTGAGCTATCACAGGTCAGAATATGTACTGGGGCTATCAGCTCCATACATGCCACCAGTTTGAAGCAGATGAATTCTCCCTAAGAATTTTTTTTTCCTTAGGGTCTTGCTCTGTTGTCCTTGCTAGAGTACAGTAACATCATTATAGCTCACTGCAACCTCAAACTCCTGGGCTCAAGCGATTGTGTGCATCACCACATCGGGCTAATTTTTTCTATTTTTTGTAGAGATAGGGTTATTGCTCTTGCTCAAGCTGGTCTCAAACTCCTAACCTCAAGCGATTTTCCTGCCTTGGCATCCCAGAGTCCTAAGGATTATAGGCATGAGCTGCCACAACCAGCAGAATTCTCCCTAAGTATGCTGTGTTTCAATAGTGAGGAGGGGCAGGGCGCAGTTGCTCACACCTATAATCCTAGCACTCTGGGAGGCTGAGTCGCGATGAATGGTCAAGGGCTAGAGTTTGAGACCAGCCTCAAAAAGAGCGAGACCCCCTCTCTACTAAAAACGGGAAGAAATTAGCTAGACAACTAAAAATATATGTATTTAAAAAAAAAATTAGCTGGGCATGGTGGTGCATGCCTGTAGTCCCAGCTACTGGAGAGGGTGAGGCAGGAGGATTGCTTAAGCCCAAGAGTTTGAGGTTGCTGTGAGCTAGGCTGATGCCATGGCACTCTAGCCCAGGCAACAGAGCAAGACTGTCTCAAGTGTCCTCAAACTATGGCCCGTGGGCCACATGCGGGTGTTTTTGCCCATTTGTTTTTTTACTTCAAAATAAGATATGTGTAGTGTGCATAGGAATTTGTTCATAGTTTTTTTAAACTATAGCCCGGCCCTCCAATGGTCTGAGGGACAGTGAACTGGCCCCCTGTTTAAAAAGTTTGAGGACTCCTGCTCTGTCCCAAAAAAAAAAAAAAGAAAAAATAATGGGGAGGGTTTGTCTTTTTTTTGTTTTTGCTGTTAATTTTGAAAAACATATGAACCTTAAAAATAGAAAAGTATAGACAGCAATAGAAGTAGACAAGCATGTTAATATCACCAAGATTAAATAGTTGTTAAACAGTTTGCCGTATCTGCTTCAGATCTTTTTTTTATTTTTATTTTTATTTTTTTATTTTTTTTTTAAAGCATCCGTATCACCCTTATAGATCTTTTTTTTAAAAGAAATTAAGCATTATAGACACAGCTAAAGTTCTACCCTATCCCCTCCTCCCAGATGCAATCCTAGATTTGTACCTCATTTACAGAGACAGATAAAAGTAACAACCAGCATAAATTGTTATTTTATGTTCTAAATTTTATAATGCATATCATATACCAAGTTTTTGCAATTTTTGTTGTACTTAACATATTTTTCCAGAGTTCTCCGTATGCATATAAATAGCTCTAGCTTATTCAATTTTACTAATCTATACATAATATTCTACTGTATGACTATACTGCATTTTATTTATTCATTTCCCTTCTGAGGGTCAGCTGGTTCTACTTTTTTGCTATTCATGATTGGTAATGAATATTTAAGTATAGTTCTCCTTATGTCTATGCAAGAATTTCTTTTTTTTTTTTTTTTTTGAGACAGAGTCTCACTCTCTTGCTTGGGGGTTAGAGTGCCGTGGCGTCAGCCTCAAATTCCTGGGCTCAAGCAATCCTCCTACCTCAGCCTCCCAAGTAGCTGGAACTACAGGCCCGCACCACCATACCTGGCTAATTTTTTCTATTTTTAGTTGTTTGGCTAATTTCTTTCTATTTTTAGTAGAGACGGGGTCTTGCTCTTGCTCAGGCTGGTCTCCAACTCCTGAGCTCAAACGATACGCCCACCCCAGCCTTCCCAGAATGCTAGAATTATAAGCATGAGCCACCACGCCCAACCAAGATTGTCTTTAGATACTTAGAAGTGGACTTACTGGGTATCAGAGTTTATAAAGTTTCTGCTTACAAGGAATTTCCAAATTATTCTTTAAAATGGTTGAAAGTTCACATTTCCCTATGTGCTACTATCAGATTTATTAATTTTTGACAATCTAATAGGTATAAAATAAAATCTATTGGTCTTTTTTCTTACTGTGGTTTTAATTACCAGCTGCTTGAACTGAGTATCTTTTTTTTTTTTTTTTTTTGAAGCAGATCTCACCTTTGTTGCCCAGGCTAGAGTGAGTGCCATGGCGTCAGCATAGCTCACAGAAACCTCAAACTCCTGGGCTCAAGCAATCCTGCTGCTTCAGCCTTCCGAGTAGCTGGGACTACAGGCATGTGCCACCATGCCCGGCTAATTTTCTCTCTATAAATTAGTTGGCCAATTAATTTCTTTCTATTTACAGTAGAGACAGGGTCTTGCTCTTGCTCAGCTGGTTTCCAACTCCTGACCTTGAGCAATTCACCCCCCTCGGCCTCCCAGAACACTAGGATTACAGGCATGAGCCACCACGCCGGCCTGAATTTTTTATGTCTTAAGAACTCCATCTTTATCTTGATATTCTCCTGGATCTTTTTCCTTCTAAGAATTTTAAAGTTTTATTTTTCATATTTGGTGTTTTAATCTATTAGAAATTCATTATTGTGAGGCCAGGCACAATGGCTCATGCCTGTAATCCTAGCACTTGGGGAAGCCGAGGCAGAAGGAACTGCTTAAGCTCAGGAGTTCAAGACCACCCTCAGCAAGAGAGAGACCCCATCTTTACAAAAAATAGAAAACTTAGTGAGGCGTGTTGGTGCACACCTGTAGTCCCAGCTACCTGGGAGGTTGAGGCTGGAGGATTGCTTGAGCCCAGGAGTTTGAAGTTGTAGTGAGCTATGATGATGCCACTGCACTCTAGCCAGGGTGACAGAGCGAGACTCTCAAAAAAAAAAAAAAAAAGGAGAGAGAGAAATTTACTATTGTATATGCTGCAAAGTGGAAATCTAATTTTTATGTTTTTTCTTGTAGGTAGCCAATTGTTACATCACTATTTGTTCAATATTCTATTCTTTCCCTGAATATTCTTTCCCTCTGTCATATGCTGAGTTCCCATACATGTGTGGGTCACTTTCTGGACTCTCCATTCTATTCCATGGGTTTGTCTATCCTTGCACCAGTACCAGCTGCAAGGATATTGCCTTATTTACAATAGCCTCATGGCAAATCTTGCTGTCTCACAGGGGGAAGTGTACTTGTTTTATTCTTGGCCCTTTATTCGTATTGATCTTTTGCTACAATTATTCTTAAGTACCTTAATAATTTTAAATAAATTATATCCTTTTTTGTAAATTATAATTTCTAATAGTTTGTTGTTGGCATACTATTGACTTCATAATTTTTGTATCCAGTAATATTGCTAAATTCTCTTACCAATCATTTGCCTGTAAAATATTTTAAGTTTTCTATGAAGAATCACACTATCTTCAAAAACTTCACTATGTATACCTCATAGATACTTAGAGATAATTTTAAAATATAATATGGGATAGATTTGTAAACTAAAAACTATAAAACACTGAAGGAGATTAAAGAAAGATCTAAATAAATGGAGACATGTACCATGTTCATGAATCAGATGATTCAACACTGTTAAGATGTCAATTCTTACCAAATTTATCTATGATTCAAAGCACTACCAAAGTTCCAACAGTCTTTTTTGTGGAAATTGATAAGCTGATTCTAAAACTTATATGAAAATGTAAAGCATTTATAATAACCAAAGCAATTCTAAAAAAACAAAGAAAACAAAGTTAAGAGGACTACCTAATTTAAAGACTTATTACAAAGCTATAATATGTGGCATTGGTATAATGCAATATTCAAGACAATGTGGTATTAATATAGTTTATGGCCTCTATTCTGTCTAGAAATTGATATGCACAATGGTGGTCAATTGATTTTTGAAAAAGGTGCCATAGTAATACAAGGGGAAAAGGACTGTCTTTTAACAAATGGTATTGGAACAATTGGGTATTCTGTGTAAACAAAAATTAACCTCAACCATACCTCTTAATAATACTTTGAATTTCTGCTGTATCTTTTACATTTCTAATATTTGTGTCTTTTTTCTTTTAAAAATTGGTCAATTTTACCACAGATCATTTTATTTATTTTATTTAGCTTTTCAAAGAACCGTATCATTTCTGCTGATTGCTATTATGTTTTCTATTTAATTCATTTCTGTTCTTGTCTTTATTGCTTCCTTTTGTGAGGGAGGTTTACCCTCTTATTTAATTCTTAAGTTGGATTCTTAGTAATTGGTTTTTAACTCTTCTCTTTACAAAAATAGTCATTTAATTCTATAAATATTTCTTTATGTATAAATTCAGCTGCAATATATAAATTTGCTATTTTGTATTTTCACTGATATTTAGTTCTACATATTTTCTGACACCCATAATATGAGAGTATTTTATTTATATATATTTAATTTGATAAGTTTTGGCATATATGTACTTAAATATTATTAATATATTCTCTAACATACTCTCAAAATATGTACTAAGTATGAGCATGTTTTATTTTTGTAATTAGTTTATTATTATTGGATCATGTTCAGAGAATATGCTCTGTTAAAAAAATGCAGATAACTGAAAATTGATTTTAATAATCAATATTCAGAAAGAGAAAAGTCTTACCAAAATGACTCCATCAAAGTTGAACTGGCACCACTGATATTAGAGAAAGGAAACCATTTATCCACAACAGCCGGACTCCAGGGAATAGTGCGCTCAATCTCCTGCTGGGCCCACTCTGGAACAGGAGGAGCTACAGGAACAGTGGAACAGAGGCAGGAGAGAAAAGAGCCATTAAACTGAAGCAGAGACTCCTACAAGCACTTGCTCCTCTCCTCTACTAACTACATCCCTCCAAAGGACATACAGAGCGGCATCACTAACAATATCCATTCATCTGCACCACCAACTCCTTTAGGCCTATGTTGTCTATGAAAAATGTGCAAATACAATTTAAAGTCTTTTGTTCTTACTGTTGGCAACAAATACACTCATCTTATTTCTGAAATGGTCCTCTAAATAGGTTAAAATATATGTAAATAATGATGATTTAAACTGCCTGAAGTATTATCATTTGCTATTATCTGCCTTAGAACTTACTGGGGTCCTACTAAGTGCGTGGTGGGAAAAAAGTTCTGATGCTGGAAGAGACTGCAAACCACCCCAGACCTCATGAGTTACTGGTTCAGAAGCTTACCAGCAGTAGCAGGATCTTCAAGCGAATTATCAATCTGATTCAATACACAATCCACAACATCTGAGAAAAGGGAAGCTGTATCCTGGGGGCCCTGGGCCACAACCGTTTGGAAAAAATGTCTTTGAAAGGCAGCCTCCTCGGTGCGGAACACAGTGAGAACCATAGCATCGGCAGAGAGCGGGGAAATAACCCCAGTGATAGGGGACCAGCCGTCACCAGGGTCCACATCAGCAACCTACATGAGAAGTTCTAATTAGTTGAGAATATTGTTGTCAACCGGCTCACCTAAAGAAGGCCATAGCTTCGTAAAAGACAGAAAAACAGTTTTCCAACGATTATTATATTAATATAAAGAGAAAATTGCGGAAAATATAGGCTTGATGGTTATTAGAGATAGAAGAGAATTTACTAATCACACAGTCCTAATCTTCCAATTTACAAATAAGAAAAACCTAACGTTACCAGGAATATTTACGAAGCATTTATTATGTAGAGCACATTATCTAGAGGATTATCTCTGAATCCTCACAAGCAGTCTGAGGTAAAACTTATTATTGTCTCAATTTTACAGAGAAGGGATGGAGGAGGAAGTAGTAACCTATTTAAGGCCACCCAGTTAGAAAGGGAAGAGGCGAGCGTTACTGACTTCTAAATCCATGCGCTTAACCATGAGGCAATACTATCATTTAAGGGACTTATCCAGAACATACAGTGGGCAGCAGAGCTGACACCTAATCCAGATTACTGACTCTCCAATCCAAGCACTTTTCATCAGAGCACACAACTCTTAGACAGCATAGGTTCAATGACTACCCCATTTTTCTCTAGAATGTTTCACAATGTGATCCAGAATAGAGATGTCCCCTGAGATTATCAAGGCAAAGACAAAGGAAGGCAAGGAATTTGCTCGTAATTTAAAAAATAATTATCACCTTTAAATCAAATCTGTGTATGTATATGTTCCTTTTCACACATTTCTAAGCTTGTGTAACTACTACTATTATCTAATGTTGCAGTATAGTAGCTTTTTCTTTAATACTTACATAAAAGTAATAAATACATAACAGAACATTTAAAAAATAACAAGAAATCATTCATCACTTCACTGTCCTAACATAACCATTCCATCTGGTCAACTGCTTTTTTCTCCTATGTGAATATAATTTAACTTAATTGGATTCCGAGTACATGCAATTTTATAAATGGTTTCTTCACTAAATAGCACTGTTTGTCATGATGCTACAATGTTGACAATATTACTTGCAAAAACATCATCAGTTTTACCAAGACTATATTATTAGGGCGTTCCTTGGCATTTTATAAACACACTTATTTCACTTTCCTAGTGTGCTATTAGAGAAGAATAACATCATGTGGAGGACACCTACCAGATGTAACTCTTCAGCAGTCAGCCTGCTTACCAGCTGCTGAAATAACAGCTTTTGAGTTGACGCATTCTCCTCTGGACTTTGCAACATCCAGCTGTCAGTCCCTAACGTGCTGCTCATCGGGAGAGACCACTGGTCTGCTGAACCTTTTAGAAAAATTCTGACTGGTTTCTGAAAATGCCTCTGATGCATGGCCAAGGGCTCTAGGGTGACTATCCACGTTTCTTGAATCTCTTTGCCTGTTAGAAATAAAGAATATTAAAATTCTAACATAAGAAATAGTTACTAAAAAGAGATTTAATAGTCTAAGAAGGAAAACAATCAGATTGCCAGCTGAGGTATTGTCACTTAGTTCATACTTCATCCCTTACTCTACTGCCAGCAGGCTATCACAGCAAGTTCATTTAGTTCTAGAGGAAAAGCTGTAAACAAATGGAATTACAAGGGCAAGACATGATGGCAGAACTTGTCAATAATTATGGCTTAGAAATAAGTACTCAAGCAATACTTACTACTTGTAAGAAAGAAGACACCACCCCAAAAACACAAAAAACACAGCACAACATATTATAAAAAGAGTAAAAATTAAAAACACTGTACAAGAAAAAAGCGCAAAAAAAAAAACACTCGAAAAAACCCCAAAAGACACACAAAATACAAAACACAGTTATATAAATAAAACTATGTGGTATTATTTCTGTGTGAATATATATTCAGAAGTGAGAGTCACCATATAGTGAATCATATGGTGAAGCAAATTTATGAAGATTCCAACATGCTGGCTTTTCCTGGTAACAAACATCACTTTTGGTGTCTGCAGACTTATTTTTTGTCTTAGCCAATCATTGTTTCTCTATGGTCTTCAACTTATCAATCTCTTCTACAAGGCAATTAAATCTTACCACCCATGTGCTTGGGCACCTGAACAATGTTACTCTTCTTTGGAAACAGCTAGGAAACTCTTTAAATTCATTCACCGTTCTTTCTGCGCATGGGCTGACAGTTGTACTGTATTAGAGTTTAAACTTTTCCTGTGGTATCTCTAATTTTGCTTAGACACATTTTAATTCTTTCCATTACAAGCATTCATTGAGTGCCTGGGGTGTGGGATATGCCAAAGATGTTAAAAGCATGGACCTGTCTTGAAGAAATTAATGTGACTGAGATATTAAAACAAAAAAACAAACCCGAAATATTATTTTCTTACCTTCAACAGGGAGAAATAATGTTCCTTCTATCTGTGGAAACGAGGCTTCATATCCAGGAGAATTATAGAGCAAGCGGTTTAAAGTGGCATCAGTTGGCAGAGTTGAAATCCATGGAGAGAGGTGAGGTTCACTTGACAGCTTTCTTTCACCCCTGAGCAGTGTTTCCTCAGCTTTAGAAAAATCCCCGCTGAAAGATTCAAATGGCAAGACGGTACCTCCTCCATGGTGGAGCAGTTCACAAACTGTCCAGTACCCAAGGTGGTCTGGGGATTCCCATAACTAAAATAAAAATGACAAAGAACCTCAGGTTATTATAAATCAGGCACTCATAAATAAAGCTAAAGGAAATCAGGAGAAAGTAAAGTTGATATCAACATTAAAGGATCAAATCATATTAATAAAATTAATGTATTGGTTAAGGCGAATACGAATAATGGCCAGCATCCAGTAACTGTACAACCCCAAACATATTACTACATAATATGTCTTCAAGAAAGCATTCCTTTAGTGACAATAGCACCTCATTTATATTTTATGTCAAGGAACAGAAGTGATGCAAATTACTGGGTATAAATCATAAAATGTTAGAGTCAGAAGGAACACAAAACCATTATACATGAATAAAAATAATTCTGATCTACACAACAATAGCCAGGTGTCATGGTAGTGAGGCAGAAGCAACTCCCCCCCAACCACCAGATAGTGGCCATCGCTTGGACTTGCCTACCCACAGGTCTGTGCAGGGACCAAACAGGTCTTCTCTGTTCTATCTTCACTGTTTTAACTGAAGCCCTCATCATCTTTCCTCCACATTGCTCTAAGTATTCTTCCAAATCACATGTCTGATCATGCTGCTGCTCTAAAAACTTTCAAAGGCCTCAAGGATAAAGTAACTCTAGCATAACCATAAAGCTCTTCACAAACAAACAACCTTTTGGAACACATTGTCATCTGTTTTTCTCACTTATCCCTACCTTCTAGGCACACTGAACCCTTTGCTATTTCCTCAACATGCCGCATTTTATAATGCTTCCATGTTTTTACTGATTTTATTTCCTGTGTCTCCCCTTCCTTCTTTACCAATTGAATGCTTATAATAAATACACTTCTGTATCTAGCTCAAATTCTGGGGTTTTTTTTGGTAAAAGCTCTGCCTCACTCCTTCACACATAGCTGACTCTTCAGTCAACCTTTCAACAAACTTTCATTGACATGCACCATGCTAGGATCTTAAAGTCAGAAGTGGGGTAAATAAAACAACTGAGTAGCTTATGATCAGCATTTATAAAGAACAGAAAAGAAAATATCAGAGCATAATAGAAAATATCACATGTAACAAAGATAAATAATGTTTATTGTGAAACTTTTGCATCAGTTATGCATACCAACCTGCGACAGATTAACCAATAACTTAGTATTTACTGTTACCACCGATGTTTCCTTGCCTGTCTTTGCTGCTATGGGGAGAATAGTAAGCTAGTTCAGAGGCCTTAGATGCTCATTAGGATTTTCTGCCAAAAGGACACAAAAAAATTTGTTGAAATTGTTTCAGCCAGAGGACTAGCCAGGAAAACAAAACAAACCTGCTTATTAAATAAAAGGTTAAGCTCAAACTTTAATAAAAGTTATAAAGGTCATTAACTTCTGATTAAAAAATAATAAATGTATGTCTTAAACAGCTTTCTGTTATCACAGAATACCTGAAACTGGGTAATTTATAATGAAAAGGAATTTTCTTCTTACAGTAAGCGAGGCTGAGAAGTCCAAGGTCAGGAGGCCACACCTGGTGAGGGCCTTCTTGCTGGTGGGGACTCTTTACAGAGTCCCAAGTACAGAGTCCCAAGGTGGTGCAGCGCATCACATGGTGAGGGGGCTGAGCTCAGGTCTCTCTTCTTCTTCTTCTTATAAAGCCACTCATCCCACTCTCAGGATAACCCATTAATCCATAAGCCCATTAATCTATGAATGGATGAATCCATTCGGAAGGGCAGAGCCCTCATGCCCTAATCACCTCTTAAAGGCCCTACCTCTCAATACTGCCACATTGGGGATTAAATTTCAACATGAGTTTTGGAATGGACAAATTTAAACCACAGCAATGTACATGAAGAAAAAATACAAACAGTATACTATATATAGAATATGGTTATGTTTTTCATTGGTATGCATATTACAGGGTAAGTGACAGACATGTCCTAGTCAAGATTTCACATTTGGGAATTTGTAGATCTCCACTAGACTATATGCTCCAAGAGAGCAGCGACCACATCTATTTGGTTCCCTAATAGTATACTCAGCCCCCATCGTAGCTGGCAAGTATATAACAAACGTGTGTTGAATAAATCAAAAGCAAAAACTGAAAATATGTCAGGGGTCTCCTATCCTCCATTCTATCCTGTTATCTTTGAAAATGTTTTGTGTGCGTGGATCCCTCCACCTCCAATCTGAATCCTGGTTCTGTTTCTCCCAGTTCTACTTCCCAGACTGTGAGCTCCCCAAGACAGGACCTGGATTTTATCTCCCTTTCTCTCCACTTTTGTACTGAGAACTCCCCAAAGGACAGAGCCTAATCTTCCTTTTGCTTCCACAGTGTGGCTGGGCAGAGGTTTTTGAATAGGAAAAGATAGCTCTTTAGTGGAAGAAAATTCCAGAAAAGCTTAAGATTACCTGATTGGCATTTTCTTAGGAGAAACAACATGGCAGATATGAGAAGAATAGCCTTAGAGAAGACCCATCCCCCTCAGATAGTGGTATGCCAGACCTGAAGCGGTCTTTTTCTTTTGAGGCAGAGTCTCACTCTTCCCCGGGCTAGAGTGCCACGGCGTCAGCCTACCTCACAGCAACCTCAAACTCCTGGGCTCAAACAATCCTCCTGCCTCAGCCTCCTAAGTAGCTGGGACTACAGGCATGCGCCACCATGCCCGGCTAATTTTTTACATATATTTTTAGTTGACCAATTAATTTCTTTCTATTTTTAGTAGAGATAGGGTCTCGCTTTTGCTCAAGCTGGTCTTGAACTCCTGAGCTCAAACAATCCACCCACCTTTGCCTCCCAGAGTGCTAGGATTACAGGCGTGAGCCACCGTGCCCAGCCTGGAAGGGGTCCTTATAATACAATTCCAGAATAAAATCTTTGATGTGATTTGATATCAGTTATCTCAAAGTGAGAACTTATGTGTTGTGTACTGTGTCTAACACTTGATTTGCTGCCTTAATAGATTTTTTTTTTTTATGCTAAGGACTGCCTTTAAATGCCTTAATAGATTTTAATTTCTAGGACTCTTCTCCATCAAATGTTTACCATCCCCTTAAACACACTTTGTCCTTTCCTTTGCTTCTTTGACAAATCACTGCTGCTTTATTTTGTATTTGCCATGCTTTTGGGGGGCTTTCTTTGTATGTGAAGGCACGTTGGAAATTTTAAAATACTGTATCATTATTTAAGTGCCTGCTCATTTTCCACCTGTAATCTTGCAATTTAACCCACTCCTGGGTTAGTGACATGTTATTTCCATTAAGTGGAATCACATCTTTCACCTGGGTAAACCACCCTCCAAAGCCTTCCCATTAATTAGAACAAAATCCACACTTAGGACCTTGGCCCCTGTAGGGCCCTCTCATACTGGTCTCCTGCTTGTCTTTTCATTTCTGAAACAAACTAAGCTCATTTCCAGCTCAAATCCTTACACCTGCTCTTCTCTTTGCCTGGAATGTTCTTTTCCAACCTTCACGTTCCTCAAGTCTCTGCTCAAAAAGGCCTTCCCTGTCTACCACCATAACCACTTCCTTCTACCTCATCCTCTCACGCAGCTTTATTTTCTTCAGAGTATGATTTGAAATAATATCACTTATCTAGTATTATTTTCCTCACCAGAAGGGTAAACTCCACATCGGCTACCATACCCCCAGTAGCCAAAACAGTGTTGTAAGTACTCAGTGTTAGTGGCTTCTCAATGAATATGTTAATTAAATGAAGTGACGGTGAAGAAAACTAGGAAAGTAAAAATACATACTTATCACTGCACTTAACAGGAGCAGGGGGCCTCAGCTGAAAATCCTAATGAACCACCATTTAAGACTTGAAGTTTGTAAGAATGTATTCATTTAGTTAGGAAATAATTATCGAATACCTACAAGTGTTCAATGTACATCTGTGAGAATACAAAGATGCATTAAGACCTGGTGCCTGCTTTTGAGGTATGTGTAGACTAAATAGAAGGTGCTAGATGTGCACAATTGGAACATAATGGGAAAAAAAAGTGCCACAAAAAAGTACATGGAAATCAGAGGCTGAACTGAGTAGTTGTCATTTGGGCAAAGCCTTAAAGGATGAGTGAGGTTTAGACTGGCTTAGAACAGTGAGAACTGGCACCCCAGGCAGATTGAACAGCACAAGAGAAGACAAAACAAGCATTCAAGATCTGTTGATTCCCCAGACTAGGCTTTAATATGCGTGAATGTATGTCGTGTGCAGGAAAATAAAGTCTGGGAAGGCAGGTAGGGCCCAAATTGTGAAGGAACTTAAATGCTTGGTAGGTAGTGAGGAACCACTCATTTTGTTGTGAAAACTGTCTCTGTCTTTTGTGACCACAGTACTGAAGGGACACACGGTCACGTTAGCTTAATTCTGGGTCTGCTGGCTGCTCTGCGGACGCTGCCATGTTCTGGTTAGCAAGGAGGGCACCGTGCACTCCCTGTGAGACTGTCGCCTTACCTTAGACCATTCGGTGGTATCCACCCAGTACAAGGTGATTTTTCGGGCGATCATGACTTCCTGGACTCTCTTGGGCAACACCTTCTCCATCACCTGCCTGGGGGTAGGCGACAGGCGCTGGGTCTGGGCCTCGCACCCGGACACGAACTGCAGCAGCTCCCGCTGCGAATGCGGACAAGGGGCCAGGAGGAAGACGGCATTCACAAAGCCCCCGAGCGCGGTCTCGGCCTCCTTGGCCTCGCTCTCCACGTCCACCAGTCTCCTCCCGCTGCTCCTCAGGATCGGCTTCGTGGGCGACGTGATCTCGGGCCGGTCCCACTGGTAGTCTAGCAGCGTCTCCATCAGGGCGCTGTGCGTGTGGGTGGCCCTGGGCGCCGGGCCGGGCAGGTGGGCGCGATCCTCGAGCCTGGCCTCCAGCTCTTCCTCAAAGTCCTCCCACGAGCGAGCCCCCAGCTCGCGGAAGTCGGACACGCGGGAGGGCCGGCTCCGCGCCCCCTGCGAGTCGAAGAACTTGAAGGCCCAGTGGACCCTCGCCAGGCCGAATCGGCAGCTCAGGTAGGTGAGGAGGCGCAGGGCGGCCCGCCGGACCCGGCTGTGGCGAGCGCCGCTGCCCGCGGTGTCCAGCAGCAGCATTACTTTGTGGCAGCACGCCATGTCGGCCGTGCAGCAGCCCCGGGGCTCGGGTCCGGGTCGGCGCCGCTCTCCTCTAGGCCCTTCCCTGAGGGAACCAGCGCCATTCACTGCTTCCCTTACGGGCCCCGGTCGAAAGGATCCCGCGCTCTCCGAGAGCTGTTGCTATTGGCAGAGCTAGTTCTCAACGTCAGCTCCTATTGGCCTCTCGCCTTGCGTAAGTTACGTGAGCAACTTCCATTTTTGGCGGTCATTGGAAGGGCCGTGGAGAAAACGTCAGCTCGATTGGTGGAGGGCGTGACTGTGGGCGGGGCGCCGCGTTGCGGGAGAAACTTAACATTCATTGGCCTGGGCCTTCGTTTTAAAATTTAAAGAGGTGGTGCTTCGGGGCGTGTCAAGAAGCTTCCCCAGTGGGGAGGAGGCCCGCGTTCGGACGAGTGTACGCGGTGGTGCGTGAGGGCTGCGGGCGCGGGGGCGTTCACCAAGACTTTGGAAGGGAATTTGGGATGGATTGGATCGAACTGGTTTAGAATCCGCCAGACCGTCTGTGGACTAGAATCCCATGGCGAAGACTTTAATTTTCTGTAAATTTTTAAAAATTATTAAAAATGAAAACTTCTCTCCCTTTGCCCCAGTAACTTCTAGGAATTTATCCGAAAAAGATAATCGGAGAGCCAGATAAAAGATTATATACATTATAGAATTTATTTAGCTCTAGAAAAATTAGAAACAGTTTGAATGGACGTGATTAAGTAAGGTATGGCACCCCCCACAGCGCGCAGCTTTTTAGAATAGTGTTTTATTACGTAATGCTCGATTTTAAAAGTAGACTGCAAGTTGCACATGGAGTGAACTCCCCAAGTTTTCTATCTGTCTGCATATTTTTAAACTGCTAAGATAATGCTGTGTACCAAAAGTTGCCTGTGATTGTCTCTCGGTGGTGCTTTTTTAAAATTTTATTTACACTTCTATGACTTTTCTAAATTTTTACAATTCTATATTACTTTTACATTCACAGGAGATATCCTTAATGAATAAAAAGGATCCTCTTGCTGCAAATGGAAGAATCCTCACTTGTGGAAAAGGCCAGGACCGGAGATGGGAGCAGTTCCTCCTGTTGATTGTGACTGCAGAGAAGGATTTAAGCTTTCTCTGGCTAGGACTGGCTGGCCTTTACATTTCCTTCCACTGCTGGCATTTCCCGAGTCCATTGTTTGCAGAAAAGACCATCACTGATGCATTGTAAATTGTCCATGACTAAAAGAAGCTAACATTTCCTGACCCACTCAATGTCATTTTAGAGCGACAAACATTTGTCAGACACTTGCTAGAAATTCGGACACCTACTGTGTTGTTCAGCATAATAGTCAACAAATAGTCATTACAGGGAACAAAACAGACAAAAATCTCTTGTCTTGAGCTCACATTTTAGTAGGGGGAGCCAAACAGTAAACAAAATAAGTAAAAGATGTAATATGTTAGGTGGTGATAAAGGTTATGGAGAAAAATTAAGCAGAGAAAGATGAAAGGTGCTGTAGGTTGAGTTGTGTCTTTCCTCTGTGCATTCATTCTGTCTGTGTCTAAATCAAGCATCCTCAAACTATGGCCCTTGGGCCACACGTTTGCCGCCCAGCACATTTATCTGGCCTTCCAGGTGTTTTTGCCACGGCTACCTGTCCTGCTTAGCAGCCGACTCGTCACAGGCCCACAGTGCACACTCTGCAACGGCCTGAGAGACAGTGAACTGGCCCCCCTGTTTAAAAAGTTTGAGGACCCCTGGTAAATCCTCCCTTTTAATAAGGACACCAGTCATTGCAATTGGGACTTACCCTAATGACCTCATTTTAACTTGATTATCTCTGTAAGACCCTATTTCAAAATAAGGTCACACATTTTGGGAGATACTAGAGGATAGGATTTCAATGTATGTTTTTGGCAGGGAAACAATTTAACCCTTTTATCCAGTGCCAGTTATATTCATTCACTCATCCAACGATGCTTACTGCATACGAGGCCCCATTCCTACCCTTATGAAGTTTACAGTCTAATAGGGGACCAGACACGAGACAAATAATAATACACATGAATGTAATATGGCATTCTGCAAGAAGAATTTTGAGGGAAAGTGAGGTATATGAGGGACTACAGTAGTTGAGCACTTTTGTTTAAACTTTAAGGGACAGCCTTAGATATAAGGCTTACCCCTAAACTGAGATTTTAGGGGTAAGTAGGAGTTTAACAATGGGGCTGAATAGGATGGGGACAGGGGAAAGCAGGTAAAGTCCTAGACAGGAAGGAACATATGGAGTTTGAGGAATGGAAGGGGAGGTGGTGGTGAGCAAGGGGTGGGGTGGGAGAAGAGGCCAGAGAAGCAGCGGGACAGTGAGGGGCCCTGGAGATGACTGGGACAGCGGGGATATTCTGTTGAGAATGGATATTCTATTGAGAACTGAGAAGATATTGGAAGGTTTTGAGGAAGCGGGGGAAATGACATGATTTGTGTTTTGAGAAGACAAATGCGCTCTGGCTTTTGGGTGAAAAAATGAACATACAGGGGCAAGAATGAAGCAGTGAGACCCGTGAGGATACTGTGCAGACCATCTGGGTGGCTGTTTACCATAGTGGGAGCCAACACATCAGGGAGTGGCAAGTCATCCTTTGGGTGCAGGAAGAAAATATTTGTACTGCTATTTCTCTTATTTGATGGCTCAGATAAGAGAATCCATTCACTGGATATCAGTGTTTTATGACACACTACATTTTTCATGTACCTGATTAAGTAATCTAAGGATTATCCAATCGGGTTTTAACTATTAATAAATAACTCTCAAAAAATGAATAAGTGGCATTAAAAGATTCCTGCTAAGAAACTACATATTAGAAGTCATATTATTAATGTGAATGATGCAACTTACAAGCAAACCACATGAAAGTGGTAGATCTGACGCTTTTTTCCTAGTATGAGATCTAGAAACATTTGTACCCCTTTAATATTTTGAAATAAACAAAGAAAAGACAATTTGATCAAATCTTACACTAAGTTGCCCAAATGAAATTTGGGATTAACAAAAAGGCTATTTGAAATGTGGATTTTTATTGCCATTAATCACAAACCTTACCCTAAGTGTATATTGTGCGTGGAGGTGCTAGGTAAAATGATAAGTGCGAAGCTATCATGATTAATGAGACATTTAAAAAACTGCTTAGTTCCTCTTATGCCATCCTTTATTTCTATTTTGTTTTATAATACATATAAATAGAAAATATCTGCATATAATTTGCCAATTAATAAATATACATATGTTAGGGATACAGGGTCAGCTTCTATTTTGATATATTTCAAATTATGCAAAATAAAATCTTATATTGATAAGGGAAAACATCAAATAAATGTGGAGACCACAGGTCTAGACCACTTATGATGGTGGCTTTAGACCAGGGTGCAAGTGATGATAGTATTTTTGAGTTCTACATTTTGATTTCCTGTCTAGTTGTTGTGTCGATTGTTGAGAGAAGGATGTTGAAGTTTCCAACTATGATTGTGGATTTGTCTATTTCTCCTTTCAGTTTTATCAGTTTTTGCTTCATGTATTTTACAGTTCCGTTGTTTGGTACCTACACCTGTAGAATTGCTGTAGAATTCTCGGTAGATTGACCCTTTATCACTATGTAATATCCATCTCTGTACCTGGTCATTTTCTTTGCTCCAAAGTACTCTGACATGAATGTAGCCATTCCTGCTTTCTTTGATTCATGTTTGCTTTATTTATGATGTTTGCATCCTTTTTATCATTTTACTGTTGACCTACCTATATCATTGTATTTGAAGTGAGTTTCTTGTAGATAACCCAAATGGGTCATGTATTTTTAAAAATCTATTCTAAAAATCTCTTTTAATTGTTGTATTTAGATGATTTACATTTAAGGTAATTATTGATTTACTAGGGCTTAAGTCTGCCATTTTATTTTCTGGTTTTTGAGATATTTTTGTTTGTTTTGCTTTCTCTTTTTTTCCTGCTCCTTTCTGGGTTACTTTAACATTTTAAAAAATTCTATTTTGATATATTAATTGTGCTTTTTAGTATATGTCTTTGTATAGTGGGTTTTTTTAGTATTTTCTCTAAGTATATTACATTATATACACATAACTTACCACAGTCTCCTGGTGAAGTGTAGTGTAGTAAAGAGAGCTTGCCTCCCTATAACTCCCTTTATCCTCCCCCATTTATAGGTGCCTTAAATATTTTCTTCACAAATATTATAATAACCACATAAGACAATGCTACAATTTTTGGTTTAACCATCAAACATAATTTAGAAAACTCAAGAAGAGAAGGAAAGCTTATTGTACTTACCCACATTTTTATTGTCCTTTCTTCTTTCCTGATGTTCCAGGATTCCTTCTTTTATCACTTCCTTCCTGTTGCAAAATCTTCTTTTAAGCATTCTCTTAGAGTAGGTGTCTGCTGGTAGCAAATTCTCTTAGTTTTCTTTTACCTGAGAATGCCTTCATTTTTCCTTTATTTCTGAAGAATATTTTCACTGGACTTAGAATTCTGGGTTGACAGTTCAGCATATGAAAACGTGGTGCCACTTCCACCTGGTCCCCACGTGGCGACTATGGCAACCCAGGTGGGAACGCCTTCCTGTCGCTGAGAGGCGGAGAAAGCCCCAGCTTCCCACTGTGCCTCCTCTGACGCCACCCAAACAGGGAGGAAGAAGCCTCCCTCGTTATCACTTGGTCGTGGCGAAAGTCCTGGCTCTGCACCAGGCCGCCAGCAGGGAGGGAGAGGGCATTGTTACCTTCTGAGAGATGTGGAAGTCCGGATTCCCCAGGTGGCCTCGCTAACATTGCAGGGGGTGGGCCTCGTTGCCACTAGATGGAGCTAGAGTCCCAGCTTTCCGCCGAGCCCTCTCTGGCACCAGGCAGACCACGTAGTCACAGCCTGGCTGGGGTGGAAGCCCAGGCTCCCGCTCAGCTTTTCCACTGTTTGTTCTGTGCACTATAGCTGGACTAGAGTGGTTATTGTCTAGAAGTTTTCTTTCTTGCTAGTCGCCCCTTTCCTGGTCTCTTGACCAGAGCAGGCTTTTCTCTGGGCTCTTCGTGTCTGTGTTCACTGGAGTGTTAAGTGGCCA